TGGCTCGGCTCAGCTTGAGACCTGGCACAGTGGGGATGAGTTGTCATTTTTGTGTCTAGAGAAATGAGCCTTGACTTCAGAAAAGGAGCTGAGGCCAGAAGGAGTTGTATTCTGTTTTGCGTTCTATTTGACCTCTCTCTCTTCCCTCCTCCAGGCTCCTCTGAGGAGGCAGTCTCTCCCCTCCAGCAGAGCTTCACGATCCCTAAAAAGGAGATAAACATGGTTTCTGATATGGCCAAGTGGAAGCGCTCTCAGGTATGGATCTGGGTTCTATGTTCCTGAAGTGTCTCAGTGTTGGCATTTGTGCAGGACAAACCAGGCCAGCTATAACAGGTTGAACAGGGTTGGGTCAAGCTACTGGAAATAATGACTTTTAAAATCAAATGGGCACTGTGACTAATGTTTTGGGAATTGTAATAAATGTAGCTTCCTCCAGTGGTCTTTAGGTGACAGCAGTAGGCGATTGTGGATAACAGAAGTTCCTACCTGGGCAGTTGTTTGTGATGACAGCAGGTCCTGTCCACTCTGTACGGCCTGTAATTCATCACATCTGGGACTGATAGTGGAGACGGGGTGTAGGGAGTGTTCAACATTCTGCAGCGTGGATAGTGAAATGCCCAAGCCCTGTCTGTAGTAGAGCTCTTGCCTTTGCTACTACTGGTGGTGAATATAGCTTCTGGTTTGACTCTGCAGACAATTATGTAGAGTGTGCAAGGGATAAGAGCTTGGAAGAGAAGAATAATGTATTGGTTCTTCCCATACTGGGACAAGATCCTAAGGTTGCCCTCAGCAATGGATAGGGCTGGGGCTCTGTCCACAGTGGTAAAGAATCCATATAAAGCATGATTTGGGCCATCCTTCGTAGAATGTTGTGTTGTCTATGTGACCCAACCACAAAGCCCAGGAAGATGGTGTTAATTGTCACCTCTGATACTTTCTAACCATGTTAAAGAATACCTTTTAGCCTAGCCCTGAAAGCTGAAAGTAGCTGTGTTTATGATACATTATGTCCTGTTGCAATGTGCTCTCAGGTCAGACAGTTCTGCTTGGGACCTTCCCTACAAGAAGTAAAATTACAGTCAGCACATTGTAGTACATCAAGACAGTGTCAGTCCCTTGTTGCTCAATGGTTACTGCAGTTCCTCTCTACATGGCTTGCTATATAGGAAGTTGTGCTGTAGACATGAATGTGCAACATTGGGGCTTGGTCAGGCAGGCTGTCCTTAGACTAGATTGGAGGCCACCCCATCAGCAAATGGCTATGGATGAAACTTCAGCCCCTTGCCTATTTGGCCTATCTTTGATAAATGGGTTTGACAGATCTCAGCCCTCTGTGTCTACAAGCACAATGGTACCTGCCCTGGCAAGTTGTGACCAACCCCTTTCTTTGCCGAAGTCTGGTTTGTCTTTGCCTTTGTGGAGAAGTTGTTTGTGGAGTAGGCTTGTTCCCTAGCGGAGCTGTCAGGATCTCTGTGCTCATGGCTCAGGTGGGTGGCCCAGACTTGTTCCTGAGGAACAGGGACAGAAAAGTGGCAGTAACTCTTGCTTAGGGACCAAGCGGTGATCCCTTCAGAGATGAGTGTTTCTGAAGACTCGCAGATAAAACCCTGCTTTGTCACGTTTGGGCATTATTTTTGATCAGGGCTTTCCTGGAAGGACAGCCTGTGAAGTGACTGGCAACAATGAGGTCTGAAAGAGGTTTCTTCAGAAAAAGTGTGGCCCACTTGCAGGGTTTTCACCTTTTTCCCTACATGTCCTGAGCTGGGGGATTGTGCAGTGGGTGTGAAAGAAGAGAGGAGAAGGGAACCTATTTAGGGCAGCTGCCCCCTTCTTCTCCTAGGCAGCTCAGATGTGGGAAGGAGGGCATGAGTAGGAAAGAATGAAGGAGTTATTGGGAGGGGTGACAGAGCCAGAAACTGCAAGTGATGATGTACTTGGGCCCAAATTTGGACAGGCCCCAGAGATGAGGTTGAGGAGCTTGTATTTGACCTGGTAAGTGACAGCAACCTGGTAAGGGGATTCAGGTAGGAGGGTGCTGGGTTGGGGTGTCTTTAAAAAGAGCTTGCTCTGTGTGACTTCAGCTGGCTGTACTGATGCAGAGGGCTCAGCACATGCCTAGTGCTGCTAAGAAGTTAATATTGTTCTCAGGAGCTTTGCAGACAAATAAGTAGCATCAGAACAAGCCTTGCACGCTGTGCTTTCCCAGGGTACTGGCATTGTGGGTTGGATCTCATCCCTGCTATGTGCTCTAGGCTTCCCCCACTTGTCCATTGTCAGTGCTCAACTGATGCCCTGTCCCCTTGCATGTTTGCAGGCATATGCAGACTACATTGGCTTCATCCTCACCCTGAATGAAGGCATCAAGGGGAAGAAGCTGACCTGCGAGTACAAAGTCTCTGAGGTGGGAGAAAGCTTGGACTACGCTGTTTCCAGTGTGGTATTTGTTTCTTTTGCTGATTTGCCTTGCACGGCAGGGCTCAGATGTTTTCCAACTAAGGGCTGTGTTGGCAGCTTGCCTGGGGCCCTAAAGAGAATAAAGTATTGCTGAGCTGCATCTGCTTTCTTCATTAAATGCAGTAGAGCAGCCTTTGGGGACTACAAATACCAGCATACAGAGCTTCGCTTGGTAACCAGGTGCCTTTGTTCACCCACAGAAATTGCACTCCAGCCCTTGGTGAAGGTGTGGGGTATGCAAAGGGTCATAGGCAAGGAAGGGCACATTCTGACCACACATGCTGTGCATATGCCATCTGATCTGTAAAGAAGCCATTTATGAGGAGCCATGTTGCTCTATGGCTGTAGCAGAGGGTGCATACTCTGAGTTTTCTTCCTAGCCACCCAGTAAGGCACTGCATGACACTGAGCAGGCTGCCCAACATCTCTGCCTCAGTTTCCCCTCTTGCAGGGAGATGCCAATGCCAACCTCCTAGTGGGGTTTGTCTTGGGTTGGTAAGGTACCTTGAGTTGAAAGAATGTGGTAGGAGGTACAAAGTGCCCCTGCCCTTCTTCACCCTCAACACTAGTCTTATCTGGGTTTCTTGCTTCTGAGGAGATAGCCCATGGTGCCTCATAGTAACTGTCTTTCTGTAGCAGCCATGTAACTGGCTCTCACCCCAGTACCTACACCCTGGTGATCAGCATGTCTGTGGTCTCTGCCATTTGAACCATGCGTTTATGGTGCTAGGAGGTTCATCCTGGATTGTCTGCAGGCAGCAAACCGTAACTTGCTGTGTCTCAGTGTAGACTGCATCCTGCTGGGGCCTCACTTGAACAGCATTATCTGGTGCAAGTTGGGCAGGTTCTTGGCCCAGGCTGTCCAATATTCATGTACTGTTCTTTGGTGTATAAGGCAGCATGGGCTGCAGAAGGAAGAGGTGAATTTGGATCATTTTGCTATCAGCCCCAGTTCAGAGGTTCTCAGCAGGAAGACAGGGTAGAAATAACTTAGTTCTCCTTGGAGAGGTCTGCATCTGTTGCATGGTGGCTTTTTGGTGCTGTGACCAGTTTTGATGCCTGTCCATGATCTCGTCATATGAACAGAGGATGCAGTGCAGGCACTGTGGAGTCGAGTCTTATTGAGGCCAGAGGAGGGATTTCAGAGATTCTCAGGGAAAAAGTGTAGATTTCCTCATTGTGCATGTCATTCTCTGGAGCTTGTTTCAGTTTCATTTGCTGGAGTACTGCCTTGTGTTCCTTGTCAGCCATTCACCCATCTCATCCAGGTGGCATCAAGTGGGCTGTAGCCGTGTTCTGCAAGGTAGTTAAGAGATGTCTTGGGAAGCCTCTTACCTTTTCCCATTACAACCAGTTACAGTTGTGTAGGGGTACTGTATTAGAAATTGACTGCTGAAAAGAGACCTACAAATAGCTGAAAGGGAAATAGACCTCTGCCCAATTTAATGCCTTTTGTTGCGATTAAATAATCAGGCAGGTAGAACCTGGCCTTCCCTACTCCAGAAGACATCCCTTGCAGGAGCTAAACATGCAGATCAGAAATGTACTGCTTTCAAAGAAAGACAAGAGGGGTGAAATCCTTTCCACAGGGGCTTTCTTGCCGACTTCTGCTCAGGCCTTTGAGTCTGTCTGGGCTCCTCACCTCTATGCATTTTCAGCAGCCTGAAAGAACAAAGAAACAATTTCATTTATGTTTTGCCTGTACAGGTGTCTTTATTGTAACAGTCCTGGTTCCTAGTCATCCATAGTATTCCATGGAAAACAGGGAAGCAAGACCTGAATTGAATATGTAAAACAGTTGGAGAAATAACTGTACTCCCCTCCCAAGCTTTTTAGGTCGTTAGTCATTGTAAAGAAGCAAAGGAGGACACGCATCAATTTTCCCTCCCTGTCAAATCCTCTTTCAATGAATTTGTTCTGCCACCTCCAGACAATTACAGAATGTAATGTCACAGACAGAGAGGCCTGTCCCATAGCCTTTCTGCTGAGCAGGGCAGAAACCTGGGACTTAAAGCAAAATAAATCTATTTCCTCTGGGGTCGAGTCCCTTGGGTGCTTGGCTGATGAGGCTGTATGTTCACAAGGGCTCATTCCTAGGTCAGACTTCTCATTTTCAGTTTTAAGGACTCAGCCTCCTTTGGCTCCTGGCTGCCTCTCTGGTCCAATTTCCCTCTGCTTCCCTATCTGCTGCTGATTCTCCTTGTGTTTCTGTCCCTTCCAGATCAAGTGCCAGGGGCTCCTTCCTGTGTCCCGAAATCTCTTCTTTGACCACATGTCCTCCTTATAATGGATCAGTGTTGGTCCACCAAGAAAAAAAGTTATGGGGAAGGAGTGGGGTGCAGTGCTGGGAAACGGCCTGCCAGTCCATAAGAGATTGTACATGCGACCTGAGTTGCCTGTTAACTGAGGGCCAGATCTGGCAAAGAGCAGTTGTTGAGTCCCATCAGCTCATGCTGAAGTTGCATGAAATCACTGGGGGATGAATACACTCCACTCCTTTATGGAGCTGCTGATCACCTTGCTGGGCCCTTAAGTGGTAATCTTCATGGGACAGGACTGTGCCTGGTTGTGCACTGTTCTTCTGGTAGTCCCCAAGATCCCAGATCATGGTTTTGCCCACTTCCTGCTTGTGCTTGGGAGCGTGCTCCTTTGGAGGGGCAGAGACCTGGTTCTGGGGCCACGTGTCCAGACTCCAGGAGGAAGGACTGGATGCGTAGTTGTCACACCTGAAACCCACAGCTCTCCACTGCTGGGCAAAGCCAAGGAGCCTGTTGGAGGTAGTGCCAATGCCAGCCGCATCATCCCCAGAGAGATGCTGCTGGGTCATTGTTCCCCAGTTGGCCACGTGGCCATGTCATTCCCTTTTGTCCTTTG